GTGTTATATGGTAGAATCATGTGTAAACACATGGTTTATGATTGCCCTTTGAACCCCTTATCAGAGCTGTATTTTCTCACTGCTGTTGTACACTGGGACTCTTCCTTATAAGCAGTTAAATATAAAACATTTATCAAGAATATCTATGTCATCAGCTTTTATTATAAGACAAAAGCAATAGTTGCTTTTGTCTTTTAAAAAGCAACCTTAAACCAAAGCCGTCCCAGTCCTTCAACTTCACGGCAGAATACACATAGTAGCCTGCAGGGGGAAGCAAATCACAAACTTAAGAACAAAAGTTTGGTGGCGAGTGGACCGAAGCAGTTTGATCTTGACATCTTTATTCCTGTCCTGCAATACATTTGCCACATTTTCAAAGAGTAAATACATCTTAAATAGCTAAACAGTTGACATTTTTTCACAAAATCCATCCACGCGCCCATTCCACAGTCTGCAAGGGGACAAACAAGCCCTTGAGCCCACCGAATCCTTGTGCAAAACCCCCAATGGTCCTGAAAGTCTTTGTCATGCTCGCCAGGTTTTCAGACATGTATACTGGTGGTTCACCGGCTGAGTATTGCGACAACATGATGCTTTTTCTAATGCAATGGTAATCTGAATGCATAGATTTGTGAAATTCTATGGTATTATTATATCACGGATGTACTGTTTAAAGATTAACAAGGATACCACAAGGACTGTAATTACATACTACAAACTCCACGCTCCTTTTCCTTTGAAATGTCTGAGTACAGTGGATGAAAAATAAAAGCTGGGTACAACACAGCCAAAAGTAGGGCCCCTACGATTATCCCTCAAATAATGTAAGCAATATAAATTGTAAAATCGAGGCTTCTTTCAAACAGTATCAAGAGAGTCAAACACATTCACAGTTCATATCCTTCCTCCAAGCAGAGAAAAGAACACAAAACCTGACCACCATCATCCAGACAGTAATTAGACTGGTCATATTTCTGTAAGCAATGGTGGGAGTGAAAGAGAGTTCATTTGCATGTACAATATCAATTAGGTCAAAAAATAAAAAACACTGTTTCCTTTAAAAGAAGGACAATGGCCAGATAAAGTTTGTCATCTGTTACATCAGAGCTTTGGATTCGAAGCAACAGGCTTGTAGTGTTTAGGACTCGGTACATTTCGACACATGCCCAATTCAGTGAACTACTATAAT